GTTGGAGGGGACCTTAAAGATCACCTAGATCCAACCTCCCTGCAATGGAAGGGACACCTCCCACTAGGTGAGGTTACTCAGAGGCCCATCCAACCTGGCCTTGCGAGGTTTGGGGCAGACAGATGTGGCTTTGCCTGTCATGGTGCTATACTTCTACTAAAACCTCTCAGGTGCCTTAGCACAAGATTTTATTCCCTCACGGGCTTTCTCTGTTAGGAGAGGGCACCCAAGCTTTCCCCTCTTGGCCTGGCAAACATCCCACTTCACATCAAAACAGGGCAGCATCTCTGCGCAAGAAGGTGCAGAGCCATGTCTTGACCAGCCTTGCTTTGAATGAGGGTGCAAGGCTGGGATGGTTTGACAGCAGCATCCAGGCAGCTTCCTTCAGGTTTGCTTTTCTTTAGCAAAGGATTTCCAGGGCAGGAGCCTGCTTGCCCATTCCTTTGCAGCCTAGTGCAGTGGGGTTGGCTGGAACACAATTAAAATGTTCTGCATGTCTTACAACTCAAGGTCTTCAGGGCATGGATTTTTTGGAAGTCTGAGGCCAGGTCTGTAAAAGCCTAGATTTAATGTCCCTTTATCTTTCCCATAGAGAGAGTTGTTTTAACTGGCTCAATATCAATACAGCCAGTGTGTAGAAAGTGGCCCAATTTCATTGTCTCCTGACATCCTGAACCCAGAAGCAGATGGACATTAACCAGCTCTGATTAGTTGGGAGAATCAAGCATTAATTTTTTATATGCCAGGACCACCTGAGTGACGGAAATCAATTACAGCTGCCCCTCCTCCTGCCATATTAATGTGGTGGCTACGAGCAGAGATGGAGGAACCTGTTGAAATGAGAAACCCCTATTTCTTAGTTTGACCCCCTAGATAATTAGGGTTAAATTGATATGCTATCGCACTGGTGACACATTTTATCTGCTTCTGTTTGTACAAGAGGATACAATAGTGGAGGAAGGACCAATTTGTGCCCTGCTCTAGCTAACCAGACCCAGATAAAAGGTGTCACTAGTACGATAACGTTCTTGCCTCATGCTCCTTTATTGTTGCTCAATTTGCCTTTTTTTTTTTTTTTTAATCCTGTTCTTTTTCTTTCAATACCCTTGGTCATATTTTAACTCCATGCCATCGCATAATGACGCCCTGCTAAATGTGTGTGGAGATAGGCAACTCTGGCTGACAGCCTTCCCTGATAACCGAATTCCAGCCCATCCATCACTAGGCTGCTCTCCTTAACTTAAGGAAAGTGATAACTAAAGCAAGGCCGTTTATCACCGCCAAGCTGTGCGCATCTTGCTGCCTTGGAGAGAGCCAGCTTCAACAGGAGAAATGCAGCCATGTCACCTCGTCTCCCATTTGCATCCTGTTCATCTCCAGGCTCCATTTACCCTGCAGAGTGAAGGAGCAGGGCCGGATGGAAATCAGAGCCTGAAAATGGTGCAGAGTTGCCACTGCTAACCCAGTGGAGGGCTTGGTCTTGGCTGGCAGAGGAGAGCGTGCTACTTGCTGTCACTTGCTCTTCTGTCCCAAGGGGACCTGTGTTTTGGGAGTGGGCAGAGGTTGTGCACTTGCATCTTGCATCTCTGCTTCTGGGACAAAAGACTACCAGAGCTGCATTGGATGCTAGAAAATTCCACAGCTATTTTCAAGTGTCTCATCAAGTGCAGTCATACCTGAAGCCGCAGCACTTGGCTGATGGGGTGGTTCTGAGAGCCAGCCTCCTTGCCAAGGAGTGAGAGCTTCAGTGTTAGGGGAGGCAGTGAGACCTCATTCAAAAGCTGGATGGATCATGGAATGTTGAATGTGGAGCAATGTGCCACCACTTCTCCCTTTCCAGAGGGAGGGCCAAATCCTGAGCTTTTTGATCAAGCAAAGCTGCCCCAGTGACGATAATACCCAGCTCATATGCAGTACTGAGCATAAGAGCATATTTATTACATGAGCTGCTCAAGTGAATGGTGGCCCTAATAAATTGAGGTATTTCCTTGCAGGCTTTGGCACTTCTGTTACCCAGGAGGGCCACAGATATACTTTGTTCACTCTAATCTGGAGAAAATGCTGGAGTTGAGGTTGAGGAGTGGGGGACCACTGCAGGTAACAAACTTGGAGCTGGGGAAAAGACATTGCAGAAGTGACTTCCTTCCTATAGCTACCTGAGGAACTGCTTTCTGTGCAGCGAGAGCCCCTGGTTCCCTGTACTGGGAGTGTTTCATAACCCAGACTAGACCAGACGCATAGGACAACCCTTTGCAAAAGGCAAGTGCACTGAGTGGCTGTATCCCTGCTGGCTTGGAGCCACCAGGCCTGCATCTTCCAGCTTGGGAAGTACGTGATGCCTTGTTCCATGCTTCTGACAGCCCAGGTTATAGCATGAGTGTAGGTCTTCTAGGGCTTGAAAAACTTGGTGAAGTCTCTTCTAGTGCTAACGTGAAATGAGTGGAGTACAAGCATGGAGGGGGAGGAGGAATGTCCTTAGGTCACACAGCTTTACAGGCAGTTTCTGGGTTTGTTACTTGTTTGCAAAAATGGGTCATTTATTTAGTTGACATATTTATTTGGAGCATTTATTTTCTCCAATTAAAGACCCACTGCCCAGCGCCCAGGGCATTCTGCCATCAGTCTCAGGGTGGAAGTAGAACCAGACTGTCCAGTTTGCTGGGACTTTTGGTCCCACAGGAATGGAAATGCTTTAGATGTCATTCATTGCACTGGCTGGCTAGCTGTCAATTCCTGTGGCTAACAAGAATGGTGCTGTACTTGCTTCTTCTGGGCCCTATCCAAATGTTAAGTGAGACGATACTTACTGCTCTTACTGGAGCTAGGCTGAGACCTGTATTAATGAAACGTCTTGGACTGGGAGGAGGAACCCAGCTTTTAGTAATACACCTTTTGCAAACTGCTGTCATCATTCTCTCTAGCTAAATATGAGCAGTGTAAGGAGAGGTTAAGCTGATGATGTGTCTGTATTAGACTGGCCATTTGTTTTGAATTATTCCAATTCTTACAATTTTTTAATTTTTTTTTTATTATTTTTTTTTTTATTTGGGACCAATAGAAGCAGCTTTCCTGGAGAAAAGAGCTTTCTTTGCATGCTGGTTGGGGCTGATGGGGCCTGTTCAGCTATGTAATGGACATGTGTAGTGGCTGTAAAAGGACTGGACCGAGCTGCTGTTTGATGTGACTGTGCAATTGCGAGGAGTGACTCCAGGTGGTGTGTTTCAGCACTATGGTGCTGGCATCAGGTGAGCTGTGCCCAGAGATGGGACCCTGCTGCCCAGTCACATTGCTTACCCTGCAAATCACTGTAGCCCTGCTGCTTGCAAGCTCATGTTTTTGACAGGCTTCCTGGTTTCAAAGAGATTCATCTAGACTTCCTTATTCAGATGTATTTCTATGACTTAAATTATTGCTTCTAAATGATAGCATGTACATCTTTTCAGGATGAGGCATTTGGTTTTAGCACACAGTCTATTCCTTTCTTAGCCGAAGTAGGCAAAACCAAGACCAGATCACTCTGGTACTGTACTATCCTAAGTGTCACATTACCCACAGGTGTCTTATCCGTGTCCCTCCTGCATCTCCTTATTGGGAAACTGCTTTTAGGGCTGAAGAGATGCTGCTCTGTTCACCAGAGGGTTAGGAGCTGGTATGAGCGCTTTGGTGTATCCATCTTGTAACCATATCTGACCAGACCTTGTTCCTGAATTTCATCAAGTCTGGATTATTCAAGCTTTCTGTTAGGGAGAGTGGGAGAAGACTTTGCCCTGGAAATGCTCTGTTTTGGGATGCTTGAGCAGCTGACGCTGGCACTCACAGCTCCTCCCTCCTCCCCTACAACCTCGCTAGGCAGCCCCCAGATGCCTGAGGAAGTTGTGAGAATCCCCATCCCCCTCTGTTTGCAGAAGCTGATTTCTGAGGTTGTGGCTTTTAACATGCACAAACGGGTCTAATTTAGTCATTTATTTAGTTGACATATTTATTTGGGATGTTCCTTTGCTTCAGTTAAAGATCCTGTGACCAGTGCCCCAGGCGTGCTCAGCAGTATGTGAATGAACAAGATCCATCAATTACTCTTGATCAGATCAAACTGGCCAGGGAAAACTCACATAACTCATCTCCCCACGCAGGCTTGGCTGGAGCTGTGTGGCTTTGTGACTCAGCCTTCCCTTCTGAGGGGCACATTGTAGCCCCCTGGCAAACACACTGGGGTTGGGACAGTGTGGGAGAAACAGTTTTTCAAACCCCGGGTGTCCTGCTGTGTCCCTTTAGGCAATCCACCTCTCTACCACTGTTGTTTTGTTTTGTTAACTCTATTCGGGTGGCTCACTGTAGGGAGAGTACGTGTGCTCACAGCTCTGGCTGCTGGTGCTCAAACCCCCAGTGAGACAGTGTGCAGCACCTTGCATCTTCAGAATTGTTACTGCTCTCTTCTTCCAAGCACCTGCTGGAAAACAGCCTCTGCCTCCTTATCCCTAAAAGGCTGGTCCTGTAGCATTACTACCCTAGAAAAGAATGTGTTGTTGCCTCCTTCCCTCCCTCGTGTTTCTTTCAGGCCAAATAGCAAAATGCCAGGGCATGTCAGGTGAAATGTCAGTCCTTCTGTCTGCCCTGTAAGGTGCTGGGTGAGCAGGATGGTTTTGCAGGGATTTGTGATAAGTTCAGCTAGCTAAGGACAGCCCAGATGCTCCAGTTGTGTTTGTGTGTTAGCCACTGTAAAGAAGTACAGCCACTGTGCTGTACTTGCACATATATCCTGTTCAAAATGTCCAGTCTGAAAGGTGACAGCAGCCTGGAAGTGGGTGGATGTATATAAGTCTTCAGCCAAGCTCTGCTTTCTTGAGATTTTTTTGCCAAGAGCTACAGTCCTTCTGATGTGCAGCATGTTACAGCAGACTTGAGTGTCTTTTCCATCTTGGAACGAAATGCACTTAAGAGAACAGTGTTTGTGTTGTCAGGACACTGATTGAATCAAACCTGCTCTTTCTTCTCTCTTACAGGTTACCAGGACAATGCCAGTACTTAGGGCTGCCGGTTGCTGATTACTTCAAACAGTGGATTAATCTGAAAAAGGTACTTTTGTGCAAACTGCCATGGTCCCCATCTCCTTCTCTCCCACCTCCCCTTGTCCTTCTCCTTTCCTCTTTAAGGAGGTGTCTAATAACTACTGCTGTTTTGCATTGAAATGAGTTATTTTCTCAGAAGCAGGGCTGAGCGAGTCCTTCAGTTCCCTATTGTATCTCCTCTAATAGAGTCTTACTGTACTTGATGGGATGTGTTCTACAGCTGGGGAGAATCCCATTGTGGCAGGCACAGTGTGGTGTCTCCACATAATAGTGGGACACTGTGAGGCCCCTCTTCAGCGAAGGCTGTGCTGGCCCCAGTGTTGCTGATTGTTTTGTTTTGCAGCTGTATAAGGCTCCTAGGAGCTTGGTTTCCTTCAGATAAAATTCTGGTTGATAAGCATGTGGAAATATTCCCAAATAAAACTCAGTATTTCCCACTGTGCTGTAGGGAAGGGGGAGCTGTCTCAGCAGCACCTCCACCTAAGAAACTGGTGGTCACTTTGCAAAGGAAAATGACTTGGACTTCACTGTCTGGTGACTTGTCTTGCTCTATGCCTTGTCTGGGTGGTTAAAGAGCAGCCTAATGTGCATCCACAGGGTCACTTGGCACAGCTGTTCCATCTATACAGAAAAATGTAGCGATGCCATAAGCCACAAATCAAAGGGGGGAAGAAAAGAACAAGTGTGATTACAAGCTAGCAGCAGGGTGAGGGGGGAGGCTGGTGTCTGTGCACAAGAGAAACTGGGGTGGTCCTCCTGGTTAAACCTTTGGATGAGTATGATTCCCTTCCTCCATCCAATTTCATGTTTTATTTGAGTTTCTGTGCCTTTTCCTGATAATTAGGGGTCTTGGTAAGTGAAATGTACTTGTAAACAGCTTGTTGTACTTGTAGGATTTTCTTTTGTTCTTTTATTTATATATTGTTTCAAATGGAAACATGAGTGACAGGCTGAGCGGCCGCAGAAGGACAATTTGCATGATCTGTTCCATCAAATAGGGTAGAACATGAACTTAA